GGCTTTTGTCCATTTGTTATGATGAAGTCGGAAACTAGGCCGGAAACTGTTTAGAAGGATTTTATCATTGCCTTGCTTGCAGACTGGTTCTGTTCTTGATCATGTTAATTACTCATGGGATCTTGGAGGTGTAAGAATTTTGTATGTCTTGTCTGGCAAAATAGTTTTTTGTACTCTTTGAGCTGAGTATGCAGTACACAGAACCGCCCTTGGAACTGCTACTTCTTTGCTTTAATTGATTTATGTGTTATGAAAAGCAGCGAGAATCATGCCTATTGCTTCAAATTTTGATTCAACAGATTATACTGGAGAAATTGTACCTTCTTTTCTATTTGTTATATTCTCGACAACTGTACACAATAAATAATTTTGGGAATGTGTAGCTCAACTAAAAATATTGATCATGTCAAATCTGCACTCTTCCAGTTGTTATCAATACAATATTAAAATATTGTCATTTTCCTTTGTGGGTGGTAGTGTACCTTTTTTAATACTCTCTATAATGTAAATAATTAAATGTTTTTAAAATTGTCTTAAATCACTGCACAGTCAATGATTTAAATGTGTTTTTTCAAATGACAATAAAAGATGAAGAAATTTCACTTTCAAAGTGTTCACAATCTGTAATTTCATCTTATGCTTTTATGGTTTTATTGTTCTCTTTTGCGTCAGGTGTGGGACACAAAGGACCAGGTGTGTATGCTGACGATCCGTCCCAAGACCCACAAGATTCGAGGGGACCTGCAAGCAGCTCACTACAACACGATCTCAAAGGTGTTTGTTGTAGCTACAGACCAGATGGCAATGCTGACACACAGAGTAAAGTAAGAGAGCAGTGTCCAGATTTGATTCCTCTTTAAAGCCCCACTGTACTACTTATAGCTATTTGCGCCCTCTATATAGCAAACAATGCCTAAGCAGTGACCATTGGTCCCCATGGTCCCCTTTTTCTTATGTTAATTGAGAGCTGATTTGATGAGATAACCACCTGTCAGTGACCATGCAGGGAGGTCTAATCCCTCCTGGCTAAAGTAGTGCAGATAGGCTTTAAAACATCCAAACTCTGTCTTCCACTTTATCTTTTGTTTGCTCTTTATTTCTCCATCTATCCCTCTTTATCTCCCTCTCTCCCCTCTCTCATTTTCTCTCTCTCTTTTTTCTCTTTCTCTCTCTCTCTCCGTCTCCCCGTCGTGTTGCTCTCTTTCTAATTATTTGAAGAATTAGTAATCACAGGTACCTACAACTGTACAGGTTTCAATCCTGAAGCAGCAAATTGTTTCAATGCTGAAATCATTTTATCAACTGAATATTTTTCTTCTTCTTGCTTAGATCTCTTGAGTTACGAGAAATCCCGACCACCCACCGGACACCCATCCTCTGCGCAAGGTACAACAACGAGTTCAAGAATGTAGTTACAACGTCTGATGCTTCGGTAAGCTTCAACGGCTCTCATACATTACTTTTTGCCTTCATAATAATAATAAAAACGGTGCTTATGAAGCACTTACCACCAAAGTCTCTAAGCGCTTTAACAAATACAATACAATAATAAACAATTACATATTAAACAAAACAAAAAGAAAATTCAAATAAACCTAAAAAATTACAATACAGTGCAATGGAAGACGAAATTTCCTGATGGGATAAAATTATCTTAAGTCTGCTTTTAACAGAAGTCACTTTAATAGGATCCTTAATAATGAAAACGCAGGACTCTGACATGGTTTTTTGTATTTCTCAATATTTTATTTTTTTATTTAATCATTTTTGAAAAGATAGAAGTAGCAAAGGGTTTACTCAGTGTAAATGGAATAAAAAAATATATCAGGAACTTTGTTAAATTTGTTGCATCAGTTTGTGACTCTGAGAAAACGTTAACGATCTATTTAATCGACAGTGCAGGTTTTTCATTGTTTTTTGTCAAAAGTGTTCTATCCAAATAATATGTTCTGGGGAGTGACATTTTTATTCATGTCATGGATGAAAGAACACTGATTATGGCACTTTTTTCTTGTGGATTATAATGCAAGCAATGCTATGGAAAATTAAGGTTTTGAGTAACTGTTTTGTTCTGCAGGTTGTCAAACTGTGGGACTTTGAGACCGGCCACCTAGTCTTCGAGTTCTCCCAAGCTCACAACAACAACGCCGTCACAGCCATGTCCTTTGACAACACAGGTCGAAGGTTAATCACAGGAGGGAGAGATGGCAGGCTCAAAATCTGGAACTACAACAATGGGCATTGCCTCAAAGTGCTGGAGAAAGGTAAAATTGATGCCTTAGTTTGTAGTGGATCAGGGCTAATTTTGGAAATGTAATGTAATGTTATTTCCTTCTGATTAAGGTATCAATTGTTAAAACTGATATTACTAAGATGCTGGATATTTTCAAGCCTTAAAGAAATTTCCAGTCCATTGCCTACCAGCTTGTAGAGGATAGGACCTTTTTCCTCCTGGAAGGCTCAAGATATCCTGCACAGATTCACAAAAGTTTTTTTTCTCACCCTGCAAAATTAAGGAATCCCAACATTACATTTTGAAAGTAGTGAAAGGTCCTTGCCGCAAAGCACTGCCATTAGTAACAAATTACAAAGTTTCAGAATACAAAAGTCTTTAGTTTACTGGGTAAAACTTCCTCCTTCTGATTAGTAATCTGATGTAGACTGTTGATACTCTTAACAAGTAGTCTTGGGATTGATCCTTACCTGGATTTTATAATTGTAAAAAAACAATGTGTTTTACCCCCGTTTTCCCTTACGACCCATGCAAATTAAATAGATAACAGGCAATAACAATTGCAGGGCCTTTAGAAAGAGTCATACTAATGCTTTACTGGGTAAATGAAACCAAATTATTGTATTTGGATGTATTACAAATTGTAATTCTTTATTCCCTCAACAGCTGAAGGCAACGACGAGGTGACGGATGTGGTATACATCGAGATGAACAAGAACCGTTACGTGATCTCTGTAGGATGGGATAGGTCCATCAATGTCTACACGGACTCAAGTGAAGACTTCAGACACGTACAGAGACCTATGCCACGATGGACTGACGATGAGGTATTTATTTCTGTGAATATTTTCATTCTCATAGCTGCCATTCTTTCATGTTTTACAAGAGTTATTGCAGTTATGGGCCTTTAATCTAATGTTGTGAACCCTAGATTAATTTCTTTTTCTTAAAACCCAAATGTTGAGTATACAACATTCACCTTGTGTTCAAACTTTAGATAACCAGATTCATAATTTTTGCTGTGGAAAGTTGGCAGGTATGGCATATATGCATCAGTAGGATTATTCCTTTGCCTCCATTTATGATAGCGAGGAAATAATACTTTCATATTGTAGTCTTGCTCTGTTTATGTACCTATCAGTAGTATTGTGGCCAGCATTTACTTTGCCAAGGTGCAATGTGCTAACCCAAATTACATTGACCAAGGCATATTCACTGATCAGTGGGCACATTGGAGGCTAGAAAGTAGGCCAAATCAGCTGTTCTGTGATTATTATTATTTATTTTTATTATTATTTATTTGGCCATAAAAATCAGAAATCCACAGTATATGCAAAGTCAACAAATTAAATACAATTATCTTAAAAATAATAGAGAAAGAAATGGTTACCTATGGGCCAGGGTTTGCAAAAATTAAATGCTTCACTGTTGCCCAGAGGCATGCAAGCCCTCGTAGGTAACCATATGTTGTACCAAACCCTTGCATACTGCTCTGCACAAGCCCCAAAGGTTACAGCTATATCATGGAGACTATTCATATTCTTCACCCATCAGTAATAAAACAGTATGCTATCCAGGGCCCATTTTGGAAATAGAAGTGCCAATTCTTCAACTAAGATTTAGTTTGATTTGATATTGATATTGTGTTCTTTCCTTTGCAGAAAAATGGTCACCAGGAAGACATTCTATCTGTCTCAGCATGCCCACCATCCCTCCTAGCTACATCAAGCTATGATGGAGAGATCATCGTCTGGAACCTGGTCTCGGGCTATGCTTACTCTCACATACAGAGCACCAAGTACTTTGATGATGCTGATGAAAAATACAAAGGTAATTACTTTGTAATTTTTCATTTCTTTTTAATTGTTATTTTTGTATTGTGTCACCTGTATCTGGGGGGGGGGGGGATTACGTAGAGGTGTCTTGGTCTATTGGATACGTCATCGGACTGTGGATCACCAATGTCCTTTGGCAAGACATTAATCTACATTTGCCACTTTCCACCCAGGTGTTAAAATGGGTACCGGTAGGAACCCTTAGAAGCTATACCAGGATGTCAATCATGACATGTGCCAATTAGTTTGAGTCATCTCACATAGACTATATACAATAAAAATGAGCCTGTCTGTGCAAGTAAAAAGTTTAACACACTACAGTCAAGCCTGCGTTAGTGACCACCTGTATCGAAAGACCTGCTGTCTATAAAGACCACATTTTTTGTTTGTCTTGAATATGGTTTCTCATTGAAAACTACATAAAGACCATCTGCCTTTTTATGTTTTCCTTGACTGGTCATTGTAAACGGGTTTCACTGTATAAGAATTATTACCAATATATACTATTTATTTTGTAGGTGATGGCGATGAGAGTATATCCAAGGTCCTGTTCATTCCATCAAGAAGAACCAACAAAGAATCAGCCCAACTCGTTGCCAGTGGACCCAGAGGTTAGTATACATGTACATGTGTAGATTCTAAAGCCTTTTGCACATGGGATGCAGTAAACCAACCTGAAAAACCTACTGCAGCAAAGTAAATGACACTAACTTAGGGTCTTTTTTGTACATAAAAACATTTTTTTAGTTTTCAAACTCGTAAATTTTTGGATTTTTCCAGCAGCCATGTTTTTTGGTAGTTCTCCACATCATGTTGAAACCGAAGGACCAAAATTAAAGAATTAGAGAATGAATGTTATTATATTTTTAAGAACACATTTGTAAAAACTTCAGTTTGCCAAATCTTCTTCAAACTTAAAAGTTAAACAGAATGTATTAGGCTAGCTAGTCTATTTAGGAAACGCAATTTTTTTTTTATTACTTTCCAAGTTATTTTTCACAAATTCAAATTAGGTACTTGTACATTTTCATTATATGGGAGAAAATATATCTTATTTCAAAGAGGTTATTTTCCAAAAGGTCAATATTAGCTTCTCATTAAGAATATAGAAATGAAAATAGACACAACAAATCAATAAATTATTTTGAATTACTTTCTATTTTGAGAGTATCCACTTTCTCTGAACTAACTTTGATGTTGCTCTAATCTTTTATTTTCTTCAGGATGTATCCATTTCTGGAATGTATACAACAATGGCCAACTGTATGGTAGATTCAACTGTGTAAGTAAAATATCGATAAACTATATATACATGTACAGTTAACAAAAAAATTATTCATACCCCTTGTAAATTTGATGTGTTTTGTGATTTTTATAACTCAAGAATGAAAGGTGGACTGGGCGAATTAGGGCCTTTGGTGAATACTTTTAGATGTAAGCTTCTCTATGTCACATTCTCAAGAAACATAAATAGTAACAAATAAATTTTTCACATACTTAAAAAACTACAAAACATGGTTGACTAAGGGTATGAATATTTTAGTTGTCAACTATATATGAGTTGTACATCTGATCATTGCCTTCAAAGACTCAAAAGGGCATTCATTTTAAGTGAAAGGTGCACTTTTTTGTCCTCACATATGTTATATATCTGTAAAGCACTAAGAGACATTATGTATTAAGCGCTATATAAAAGTGGAATATTATTATTATATTATTATCAGCATTCTTAATCAAGAATTTCAATCCAAATTAATCCCCCCCCCCCCTCCCCCAAACAAAACAAAAAAAATAGAACTTGTGTTGTTCTTGTTAACTCTTAAGCTGCCACCCATACAATGCACCCAGTGCCACAGTGCTAATCCCTATTGTGCCCGCTACTAATCTCCTGTGTGCCAAGTTAATTTAGGGTTGGTTCAAGTGCGTGTAGTTTAAATTGTTACTATGTTTGATCCACTATAACATCTCATCTGTATATTGTATAAAAAAGAATTGTACGTTAAAGTTGTAGGAAATTTAACCCTCTTTCTGTTGATACCAATATCATTTCATGAATCTGTAATTTTGGTAAAGTAAATAAGCACTATCAGTGAGTTGTCAAACCAATCCGTTGTCTCATTTCCCGCACACAATCTGAGGGGCCATGATCAAAACTGACAAATTTGATGATAAAATATCGCAATTTTCTCAGGAAAATCCAATGTAACGGTATATGTGAAGCACACAAAATCAAAACAACAATAAACCCCCTCCACAAATACAGTAAGCATTCATGCGTGCACGCAATGCGCATCGCACAATAGGCATAAACAATTAGCTTGTGTACTTATGCACGAAAATGTGTCCGTGGCACGCGAGCGGATGAGAGTTTATGTGTGCATGGCATGTCAACAGAAACCCGGTTATGTGTGCGTGGCACGCCAGCGCATGCACAGAACAGTGTTCTTGGCACGATAAGAGTTAACTAGTGTTTTTAATGTGATGTTGTGTTTATACCATGTACAGGTAAAGAAGAAAGGAACATCAGTGAATTGTATGCTGCTGTCCACTGATGATTTAACTCTCTTCACTGGAGACGCTCTAGGTAAGAAATTGAGACATTATAATGATAATAATAAAAATGTATTTATATAGTGCATTTCCTATGTACATGTTCAAATGCGCTATATAATTATTTTGTTATGTCATATCATAAGGTGAGATATAGTTAGATAAAGGAAAAGAAATAGATCAGTCCTAGAGCAGTGGTCTCACAAATGGGAGATTGATGGTTTAAAAACAAAAATCAGTGCACTAGTGCCATTTGGCAAGGCATTATTCCTCAACAACCAAGTCCCCTGGACAGGACATAATGTTGTAGGTTCCCTGGTTGCTCATATACAAGCATGTGCTTGCTTTCTCAGTAGCTGGATAAAATGAATAAAAAAGAATAAAATATAGGAAATAGAGATAAACATACAGAAAAAAGAAGGAATATATGAAAATATCCAGGAGAAAGAGGAGAGACAGTTGAGAACATACAACAAAGAGAGAAAGAGAGAGAGAAGGGAAGGACACACAAAGGATTACTCAATGAAAATGAAAGATTAGGTTAAAAGATGAAATAGTGAAACAAATGGGGATGAGAAGAAATTAGAAAAGGAATGAATTAGAAAACAAATTATAATGTAACTTCATTTTATATTTACATGCGTTTGATTTGGTTGCATAAACAGAATCTCTATACAATGCTGATACAAAGGTAGATGCACACTATTTCTGTGACTGATATATATTTGAATGTATTTGTATTTATATTCAGGTTTTGTCTCCGTTTGGGACATTGACCACTACTGCCTTGACCGCCCTGATAACATTGAAGAAGCCCCTGAATGTAAGCTCCTTCTGTTTATTTTCAAAATATATTAGTAAAAGATGCTTGATAATTCTTTTTTCCATTGTGATTCTGGTGAGGTTATCATTATTGAATTTTTTTTTTTTTTCAGTAATTCCTGAATATTTGAAAAAATAAATGCTATCTTATTTTGTATAATCATTTCAGTATAACTGAGAATTAATAACATTAAATCTAATTAAATTTTGCGAAACTTATATAAATTGGATTATGCTTGAATACTTACAAGTGTCTAATCATATTTCTTTTTCATTATTTCAGTGATGGGGTCATGGAGAGGTCATATCCAGAGTATTACAAGGTGTGTCCAGTTTACCTTTCCACCATCCAGTTTCCTTTATTTTCAGTTGTGAAAGTTATTTCTAATCAGTGTCTGATATATACTGTATGATCATTAGTTATGAACATACCTACCATTTGCACTATTGTAGTGCAGGCAGGGGTTCATGGGGACGCACGCGCCCCTTTTTTTCTAATGTTCCGTTTACGCATTCAGAAATGCCTCAGAATGTACCGTAGAGCATGTTAAGGTTCAAAATTTCACGGACCCCACACCATAAAGGCTTCGTGCTCGCAATTTCGTACATATCACGCCCCCACCCCCCTTTTGGAAAATCCTGGATCCGCCCCAGGCAGGTCATTGGCTTCCTTCAATATTCAAAATGTCTATGACTTTGTATAGATTATTCAAATGTGTTTTTACAGTATGTTGGAAACACTATATCTAATCTCAATTATTTTAAAGCAAATGTAGTGCTAAGCTTTTCCTTTGAAAATGAAAGAATTAAGACATTATTTTTAATGCAAGAAAAAAAGAAAGCATCTACACGTATAGAAACTCTTTTTGTTATATTTCCTGAGAGCTTCTGGAGGAATAAACAACTGTTTTTGAGAGTCGCTTAGCATGTTATTTATTAACGTCACACATATTATCTTTTGCAGCATGAGCCTTGTTGAAGAGCATAGTATTCTAATCACATCGTCACTAGACTGCACTGTAAGACTGTGGACAACAGAGGGCCATTATGTTGGTAAGAAAAATATTGTAAACTTTCATGTTGCAATTGGGAATGGGAATCGTTCTCTATACAAAGTTTCACAATTTTTCTTGTGGATGTAGGCTTACAGGCTTTGTATGTATGATGTATACATAAAATTGTTAGTCATTGAGCAGGACAATTGTTTTATGTGTAATAAAACATGATTGAGAAAATCTTGCACATACAGATCCTGGTGATTAGCAGTAGAAGTACATTTTGTGGCTTCGACGCAAAGTAAAACCAAAGTAATTTGGACAGCAAGGTCACCAATTTGATGTGAAAAAGTACAGTAATAATGATAAAGAAACACAAAATTGATTTTACCTATGTGTGCCTGGCTGAAAGATGTGAAAAACAAATTTTGGTAATATATTTTACTTTTTTAATTTAATAACCTTATTTCGAACTATTACAGAAAAGTTGTGATCGATTATGTTGTGTTGATGTAGTCAAAGACGGGTAAAAACTGTACAGTGTTTATTTCCAGAAATGTGCATCTATGTTCATTCACACAATGAGTTTACTTTAAAAAAATATTGAATGGTACCTGTCAGAAGTCGATGCACTGGTGCTGTTTGATAAGGCATTAATCATTGCCAAGCCCCTCGGAGAGGACTTAAAGCCGTCGGTCCCCTGGTTACATGGTTATATACTTACAAGCATACACATGCTTTCGTAGCAGTCGGGTAAAACAAACAAAAGCTCTAAAGAGATTTTAGCACACTAGAATGAAATACACTTTTGTCCCCTCTCCCCCTCACCCTAGGCACCTTCGGTCAAGATGAGCCCTGGGACGTCTTCAACCCCAACACCTTCAAACATCCCATGGTCCCTTACGACGTCCTGGTTGACCCCCAGAGCATGCCCAACCACCCCATCTTTGACCAGAAGTCGTCATCGTCAATGTCGGAGTACATCTGTGATGAATCCTTGGATGATGGCCAGACCGGCGGGGAAACTGACATGCTGGATGATGGTAGTGGGAGTAGCCATGGAGACGAGATTGAAGAGAAGGAAGAGGTGGAGGAGAGAGAGGATGACAAGAAGGTAAAACTGGTGATCCGAAATATTCTCTGGCGACATCTGCTCCAGGATTGATTTAATCAGAGATATCAGATTAGGCTCAGGGTTTCTTTTAGGTTAAGGGTTAGATGTATTATTTGGTCCTATATTGAAGTTAGGAATTCAGTTAGTGTAGGATTATGATAGCAGAAAATTTGTCAACGGAGCATGTGCGGTATAACATGCAAATGAGCTTATTGAAATTGAAAGGGGGTCAGTCACTAAACAAAATTTTGCTCTGTATGTTTGGGGTTACATATTGGCATACTGTGTTTAAGATACCAGCTTCTGATGTTACTTTTGTAAAGACGTGATGCAATTTTATAAATGCTTGTGAAAGGTAGAAGGGACTAATGATAAAATTAATGGATGCATCTGTACATGGATTGATTAAATATTGATTAGATGAGCATAGAAATATGTAAATATTACATCTTTATTTTTCCTATTTCAATGATCTTTTGTCCATTATTTTCTGATAGAGCGAATCCACTAGCTACATCAGCACTCGTGAGAAGTTTGTTTATGACGACGATATGATAGCTGCAGAACTCAAAAAGAAACCGTTCAATAGGGGCTCTGGGAAGAGGTGTGTAAATTTAGATATTGGGGTGGTGATGATGAAGGTGGTGGTGGTGGCAATGTAGGTGATGGAGATGATGATGATAATGATGCTGATGATCATGATGGTGATGATGATGACGATGATGACGATGATGATGATGACGATGATGAAAATGATTGTGATGGGGATGGTCGAGTTGATGATTATGATGGTGGTCATCGTAATGTGCTGATGATGATGGTGGGAATGGTAGTTTGTGCTGATGAAATAAAAAAAATAGGAAATTCCTGTCTGGTCTGTGAGCGTATTTCCAGTACTGAGCAGCATTCTTGTTTCTTTTTGTTTTTCTTCAGACTTCGACATGAGAAGCTGAGGTCGATGCCCAAGGAGAGGGCTGTCACCAGTGCCTATCAGACCCTCAAGTGCTTTGACCTGGAGGACACGCCCCCTCTCCCGCCCCCTTCCCGAAGCAAAGACAAGACCAGTGATCCTTTCACATTCTCATGATGAAAAGATGTGGGTGAATTTTCACCAAGACAGACCAAGGTCAAAGGTTATTACATGAACTTTCACAAAGACAGACCAAGGTCAAAGGTTATCCCATGAACTTTAAACAAGACAGACCAATGTCAAAAGATTCTCTGTAGAGAATCTCTTTCTGTGACGTAAGCTGGAAGGTCAATGTAACCGTTGACTTCCGTAGGAAGGTCATCTATGCATGTTAACCCCTCCAATACTGCATGAAATTTCTCATCATTGTAACACATGTCTATATGTGTCATAGAATGACACTCAGTAAGTTAGTATTCAAGGAGTTAAGAGAGATAGATTTATTCACTTTGGCCTTTAAAATGTTGGTACATTCTGCACCAAATGTGGCATTTACATTACTGAAGGAGGTATACCTTGAGTCGACAATCAAAATGATAATGGTTTTTGTGTTCAAGATTAGCTTGTATTAGGCCAAGTAAAGAATGATATTGAATTCTTGATAGTGTATTCAAGAAACATTAGTGTGATCATGAATTGAATATTTAGTATGTATTATGTTATTAAAGTGGTCATGTTTTGGGTTTAGGTCTCATATGTGGAACCTGCTAAACGTTATCCGTCCATCTTTCCGTCCATGAAAGAATTTAGTCAGGGTATTTTACCAACATCGCTACCACTGCTGTAATGTATTTTCAATTGCACCATATTTTGGTGAAGGGGTACATAGATCGTTTTCCAGTTCCTGTACCCAAGCATCATCACGCATGCGTCATAAGTTGGTGATGCATGTGGGACATGGCTGTCAACACGTTGTGACATGGCAGTATAAGTAAATCTGAATTAAAGTGCATGGAGTTAGTAACTCAATGATTAATGTCAGTAGAATAACATGCCTGTAAAAGCATGTAACAATGAACTGATTTGGGTTCATGAGGTCAAAAGTCAAAGCCACATGGTCATAATAATACAAAATCCTAGAAAATACATTTTTAAAGCAGATTCAGTCATGATGCATCAATACAGTTTGAAATTAAATCATTTAAAATGTCAAAATAATGTCCCATAGAATTAAATTAGGTTCAATTTAGATGAACCTAAATGACACATTTAAAGTAATAATGCTTCAAGTTGTTCTTTCAATCTCTGTGAGAAATTATTTTTAAGAAGTGGAATTCTGAAATGCATTTTTTTTCTTCTCATTTCTTTCTTTCTTTCTTTCTTTGTACTTATAAGAGATTTTGATTGACACTATGCAGCAAACACTGTAGTAAACTGTCTATCTGAGATAGTTCACACACTGTTGTTGATTTTTTATATGATTTTGATGTGGCCAGGGCCTCTTCTTATATAGAGTTGATATTTATGGCAACTTATTTGCGATTGATATCAACTACAACTATGTACATAAGAGACAGGTGACTGTAAACTTGCGATTGATTTGGATCAAGCGCAACTCTTTATAAGACGAGGCCCGGATACTGATATCTTATGTACAATATCAGTAACAGTCATTAATTGTACATTTAGCATGATCCTGTTCAGGTATTACTCAACAGGCTTTAACCAGTTTGATGTACTGTAAATCCATCTGATTATTTCTAGTCATAAAAATCATATTTTCATTTTTGTTGCTGCACTTTCACCAAATATGAGTAGACTAAATATGACTAAATTTTTAATATTTTATCCTCATGTGTGTATTTCAAATATTATTGGTAAAAAAAGAACTTATTATTAACAATAGGAGCACCATTCCAAATGTTCTCACAGAAGATAAAGTAAAATTATGATAAAGTTGATAGGTTACTGATATAATCATAGGAATTATTTAGTATTTATGAATTGTTTCATTTTAATTTTTTATTCAAAATATTATCGG